TCTCTTATACACATCTAGATGTGTATAAGAGACAGCCCCACCACAAAACCCCCCACCCTGTGCACCCCCCGAAACATCAGTTAGTGTTCCATTCAATGCAAATACTATCAACAAATAAGATAGAAAAAAAAAAACAAGTACCGAACTCTCAAAGCCATAAATAAATTAAAATAAAAAAATGCAAGAAATAAAATTGAAAATGAGAACAACAATTAAAGATATAAAATCACACACCGACAAAAAAATGGGCAGGCAGCGTGCATCACTCGTAATAGAAAATGTAATGTACATGAAAAGTCGTGAACGATGCGAAGTACCTGACAGGCTGACACTAATATCACACATGGAAAATGGAACATGATACAATGTATCCTACTGCTAATGCACTGGCACCACATGTCCAAAAAAATACGAGAAACAATAGTTTACAAGTCGTGTCGTAGCTGCCTAAACGATACAAGAAAAAAAAATACTATACAGTCTGAACTCAGTCTGTTGCAACCGACGACACTCTACGAACACCCTACTCAACCTACTGGCACCAAAATCATACTCTACAAACACCCTACTGCTATCAAAATCATACACACCACCAAGTAAAGCACGCACACAACCACTGAGTGTCTGACAATACTAAGACAAAACGAGACGACTCAGACTACCAAAAAAACTACAAACGCACAACATGACGACGTACAGTGCGAGTAGGGGAGAAGCGGAGTGTTGGCCTCATCGGTCAACGACCCTTCTTCCCCTTCCCGCTGTGTCTCCTCGTGCCCCCTCGAGTGCCAGATGTCGACCTCTTCCTCCCTCGTGAGGATGAAGAAGTTCGTGCAGCGGAGCGTCTAGATGCACGCGTCGGTGGGGGGCTTGGGGAAGGTGGGGGCTCATCGTAGTCGTCGTCGTCGTCACCATCGGAACCGCTCCTGCTATCCTCCTCTCCCCCCTCCTCGCCCTCGTGCTCCTCGTCCGCATGCCGCACAGCCGCATCCGTATCAGGATCATCCTCCTTGATGATGATTGGGCCTCCTCCCTTCCTCAACACAACAACCCTCGCACTAACCTCTGCAATGGTCTGCTCACGATGGGAACCACGAGGCATCCCCAACCCCCCCGCCCCCGAACTCTCTCCAAATGCTGCGCCTCCCTCTGCAAGCACGGGGCGTGGATGAGGAGGCACTCCACACTTGCGTGGAGTCTGCTCCTGCACGACATGCGTCGCTGCTCTCAGAGCGTACTCCAAGGTCTCGGTCGACACTCCTCTGCCACGACCTCGCTGAGGCTCACAACCTGATGACGGTACCTCCCTCGCTGCGGTCGTCCTAGCACCTCCTCCTCCCAAGCCCGGCTGAAGGCGTGCAGTGTGCTCCGTGACACGGCGGGTGAAATCCAAATCTATATATGTCCTCCCGAATATCGTCGTGTCACACACGTCCTGCTGAACTGCTGTCGTGTCACGAATCCTAGATCTCCCAGGCGTGTGTGGGGATCGAGAGCCTCTGCCTGTGGGCGACAATGATGGATCACCTGCAGGTGCTCTGGGAGGAGGGGGTGGCATGTCTCCTGTGCGTGGCGCTGTCTCCGTCACGCCACCCGAAACCCCTGGAACATATCCCGCGGTATGTCCTCCGGTGGAGGTAGACCCAGACCACACGGGGGACGCGGGACCCCATGGAACCGAAGGGATCGTCTGCCTTGGTGGGTGCTCGAACCTCTGGTCGTAGATCCACCGGTCCAAGCGAGTGTCATCGCGCACAGCCTCTCTAGCCAACTCCTCTGCATCCAAAGGACGACGGACTCCTGCGGAGCAAAGTGGCTAGGAAGACGTGGGGGCACAACCACCGGCTCGGACCCCAAATCTGTGATAACGGGCGGTGGCACACCATGCACTGCCATCTGAACCGCCTGCGGCTGTCGGGCCTGAGCCAAGTGCAGGCCCGAGAACGGAACGACTGGACCCGTTGCTGTCTCCTGCCCCTCGACTCGTCGCTGTCCTGCTTGCACAGCTTCATCCACCGCCTGAGGCCGTCCCTCCACAGCAATGTCCACTGCCTCTGCTCCACCCGGCATAGCCTCGGGTACCGGTTCTGCTGCCACTCCCTCCGCGACGGCCTCCCCCGCCACCACCCCACCCTGCACACAACCCTCCCCTATCTCTCGACGCCTGGCCTCCTCTACGGCCCGTGCGAATGCCTAAGCACGAGGGTCAGTCGATGCCAAAAGTCTAACCCTCTCTCGCTCCATGATGTCGTGTGCTGCATCTGGAGACTCAGTCGACGTCCTCTCTCTCGCGGTCTGCGTCGAAGTCCTGCCTGGCGTCTCGTCCCTCGATGGAGCCCGGTCCGTCGATGTCGCCACGCCGCAACTGGGTGGACGGCCCACCGACAAATCTAAGTCTAAGTGGGTCCCCATCTCCGAATCTGAAATCCCGAACCCCCTCTCCACACCCGGGGTCATAACCGCTATAGTCGGATCGAGCTCCTTCGTGAGGAACTGCTGCATGAGGCGCTCGTCATCGCCCCCACGCTGCACCTCGGCCTGTGCCGCTATCTCCTCCTCCACTGCAGCTGCCGACGGTGCCTCCTCCTCCTCCACTGCTGTTGCCACCTCAACCTCCACTGCAGCTGCCGACGGTGCCTCCTCCTCCTCCACTGCTGTTGCCACCTCAACCTCCACTGCTGCTGCTCCTCCACCTGCTCCTCCTTCTGCTGCCACCTGCCCCTCCACTGCTGCACCTCCTCCTGCCGCTGGTGGATCCTCCTCCAGCACTGATGTTGCCATCTCCTCCAGCACTGATGCTGCTGCTGCTGCTGCTGCTATCTCCTCCACCGCGGCTGCGATCGTCGCGTCCCGCACCGTCGCTGGTGCCACTGAACTCTCCACTGCTGCTGCCGAAGGTGCCCCCTCCTCCTGCAATATCCCCGGGGAAGGTGATCGTAACCTAAGCAGGCGAACTGCCCCGCCTCTGTGGAGAAGGCCGCACTGAGGCAAGGAGGACCCCAACTCCTACCTGTCCGGCTGAAGTGGCGAGACGGGCGATGGTGGTGCAGGACTCGGAGCAGGAGGTGGCGGCATCGACGAATCCCACCTCGTTGGAGTGGGGGTCGTCGCCTGCGCCTCTGGGCCGCCAGTGGAAACGACCTCACCGAATGGGCCCCATAAGTCCTCGTCTCCCCCCAGCATCTCCCTCTCCGCCCAGTCCGCTGCCCGTCGTGCAGTGTGTGCCCTTGTCTCCTCGGAGTCGGGATCGTCGTGCGTCTCGTCGATCTCTCGGGGAATGCGGAGCGCAGGGTCATCTGCCGCCTCGGGTATCGGCTCCTCGTCTAAGTCGTCCTCCCTAGGGTAGGGACGAAAAATCCAATCACGTCTAGCGAAAACGGCATCAGCCGAGGGTGGTGCGGACGCCCCGATGGGATCCCGGGTAATAAGTGCAACCTGACGGGCAATCTCCTCCTCCATCATCCCCCTGCGAGTCCCCGAGCGCACAGGCTCCAACTCGAGTCCTGCCTGGCAATCCAGCATGCCCTTGTCCCGCTGCCATGGCAGCACATAACCGCATTCAGCCCGCCGATACTCAATCAACCGCACATTTGTGGTGATCTCAACGAGTTGCACGACCTTCTCGAAAGCCAACTGGTTGCGCTTCTTCGTGTGAATGCCCTCATGGACTGGCCAGTTCCTCTCCGCTGGAGAGGCGCAAGAACACATATGCATCACTCGAAGAGCGCAACGCTGCAACTCTGGCGCGCCCGACCCGAACTGAGACCACCAAGACGCGCACTCAATCGTCTCGCTGTCGCCGCTGCACGCGCGCCCACGAGCACGCCCCTCCGGCCCGCCCCAATCTCCGAACCTGCCCTGCTGAATGTGGAAGTCCTCAAACTGCCGACATGCAAGAATATACTCCGCACCCTCCAACTCGAATCCCGTTTGCGTTAGAATGTACCTCTTGGCTTGCCCCACAAGCCAAGCATCGGACCGCTCTACCTGCCCCGAAAAGTAGCGAACGTGTCGCCTGCGGGGGTTCAGTAAGAAACCTGCGCAGTGAGCCGTCTCAAGCATGTGCTGTGTGCGAGCCTGCACACGCCTGATGATCCGCTCGGCGAACGACTTCCCCAAAGGGGCGCATGCGACCGTGACACGACGGACAAGATCCTGCGTCCACTCGATCATGAGGGATATGTACTGTCCTCCACGATCCATCCGCCTGAGCAACTCCATGACGGGCTGCATGATATGGACGATGGTGGACACCCTCGGCCACCATGGATCCCATCTGCTCTGTCGGCGCACCCAACGCGCCATGATGCACACATCGGCGGACCACGGGATGGAAGCAAAAGCCCGCGCGTCGTCCCCTCGCATCATGTCCTGCAGAGTGTCCTGCAGGGCCAACAGCCTCTCCAGCATGGAGTACAAAGACGCGAATCGTGTCTTGCAAGAAAGAATAAGCCCCTTGTCGGGGCTGCGCGTCCTAAAAAAATGAAAGGCGGCTTGGTGGGTTTTGAAAAACACCACCAGCACACGAGCGCGTGTGATCGCGTCCACAAACGCGTCGCAACTCGTCCCCATGTTTGACAACAATTTGTTGCAGACATGGACGGAGCACGGGAGCCAAGTGATCCTCCTCAATGCAGGAGGTATGGATGGCGAGGTCAATGCCCTCGCAGCCCCCACATAGGCAGAAGCGGAGTCAGTGCATATCGCATTGATCCGCTGCGGCCCGCCGAAGCTGAACTCGTGGAAGATGGTAACCCATCTCCGAAGGACGTGCGCTGCATCGTCCGCCTCGCCCTCTCGATTAATCGTCGTGTACACGACGACCCGTCGAGAGCCAGCAGCAAGGAAATTCACGATCGGTCTCCCGTCTCGTGATTTCCTCCCATCGGAGAGGAGGGTGGCACCAGTCACCCAGAATGGCTGCCTCACCTCCTCCAACTCCTCCGCCAACTCCGCACGGTGGGTCTCCACCGCCCGCATACTCGCAATCTCGCAGTGGTTGGGGAGCACTACGCGCGGGGAACTGCCAGGCTGCTCAAGAAGTACCTGCTGATATGCCTTCCACGCCTGGTTGCAGAAGGCATTGAAGGACACCCCGCTGGAATACAACCAGCGAAGGAAACCCACTCGCCACCGTAGACATCAGTCACCTTCTGCTGGCGAAGCCTCTTCCCTGCTGGGGTGGCAGCCGGATCACTCCCTCCTTCCTTCCTCTTGGAAGACCCCTCCGTTGCAGCTCCCTTCCCTGCTCGCCTCCGCCAGTCCTCCAACCTCTCGCCAGTGCCTGGATAAACCTCAGGCACGTCCTCCCGTTCCGGAACTCCCTTCTCACCCGGGCCACGCGCCTCGCGATCCACGTGGATCATGCCCTCCTTCGTCTCACCGCCTCCACCACCCAAAGTGGGGTCTGCCGCACCATGCCCACCATCTCCCCCAACCCCTCCCTCCGCCGGAC